TGTTCTGAGCGCATTGGCTCGTGGTACACCAACTGCTCTCCTACAAGAAAGCGTAGCAGATATTGCTGAAGCCCTGGCCAATGAGGACGTCTCTCATGTCACCAATCATGGACATCAAAGTGCTTTGTTACAGGTCATTCAGGTCTTGATAGAAAAATGTGATCCAAGAGACTGTAGCTACAGTATTTTCTCAGTTTTACTGTATATTGCTTCAACTTCAGAGGAGCAGGATACAGTCAGTATTGCTCAAGAACAGTTAGAAAATGTAGCAAAGAGAAGTGGACTGGATAGAGTTTACAAACTATATGATCTCCATCTAAGTGCAGTTTTAAATACAATTCAAACAACAGCCTCCTCATGGACTGAGCAAACCCCTCATTTCATGATATTCTTAGGCCTACTAGAACTTGCCGGTAGGTTGAGAAATGTTTTTTCATTATGTGTGTAAATAATATAAAAGAAAAAAAAAGTGGTCCTCTCTTCACAGTAGCCATTGTCAATGGAGTGAATTGTAATAAAGGCAAGCATAAATAAATAGAAGAATTTATGTTGAGAAAATGTTAGAATATGAGGAATGCATAGCTACCACAAATGATTAGCAACTGTGTGTCCAAATTTTAAAGTTACCAACAGAATTTGGAAAATCTCTTGAATCATATTTATTAAATTCAAAGGTCTCCTTTTTTGCATAAATTACTGTAATTCAGAATGCAACCAATCAATAATGCTAATTGATTTAAAATATACAAGTTCTCAGTTTTGAAGTTAATTTCTTATGTTGTAATATATGCCTTTTTACTTTATTGATTACACTGTAGTGGATTAAATAGATGTAAAATACCAGATATATGGTTACTTTGCTGAAGTGATTGATAGAACTGATGTTGAGGACCAAGAGATAAAGCATTTTTGTGAATGAGATGGTGATTGCAGAGTAAATCATTTTAATTGAAGGGAAAAAAAGGCTACATTGAATCTTGAGACTGTAAGTCATAGCTATGTTTGAGCAGTCTAGTGAAACAAAAAACAGTAATGTTGATGATGTAACTTTGAATATAATTGTTTCCACAGATCAGTCACTCGGATGTCATTTAGAAAGGATAGTTGGCATCTTGTGTGATTGTGTTCCTAAGAAACAGGATCCTTTTGTTAGCCTGAAATGTCTCATGAAGCTAAATCATCTTCTAAAGCAAGAGGAGCATCCTTTAAATTCAAATGGAGAGTTAGAGAGATTCCTTCCTGTGATTGTTTCTGGTAGGTGTCAAAGCTACAAAATACATAGTATAAGCTTATGATGAGTTATATAGTGATTTTAATATATGTGACTAACTTTTCTTTTTGCTAAACCAGTGGAATTCTCTTAACCTTTTTACTACCAAGTTTTCTGTGGTAGGTGATTGATTGAAATGATTGAAAAATGCACATTTTGGGTCTTATTGTGAAAAAATAACGTATAAGCAACCCTTATAGATACAGCAACATATTTAAAGAGAATTCCAATTATAGATAGAAAAACACAACTCTTTTCCTGTGAAACTAATTAAGCAACACAAGAATTTCAATGAATTTCAGATATAGTGAAGCCATTTCTCCCATGGCACGCTGGAAGCACAGCTGCTGCTCTGAGAACAGCAGCAGTGTCTTGTTTGGTTTCTGTCTGCCAGGCTGAAGTAGCAAGTCAGAAAGTTTTAGATGGTAATGTATTTTAGACTAACACATGCCTCGTGTGATATGAGATGATTGAATGATTAAAAAGATATTTGATTGATGGGGTCTCAGTGTTGATCAGAAAGAGGGAATGTCGTTTCTGAAAAACTGTTTGAAGAAATCTCTTCTTCTTTTGTAATTTTTCAGAGGTAAAAAATTGCCTTGCCCTTATCCCAGCCCTTATTGAAGATGACTCTGAAGATACTCGTCACCTTTCCTGTGAAGTTGTGATGAATGTTGCCTACTCCTTTCCTCAGCTGATTGATTCTGATACATTACATACTTTAGCAGATAGTATGTATATTTTTACGTTATATAATATGTAGATATACAGCTTGAATAATACAGCTTGTAAAAATTTTGTGTAACCATGCACTGTAAATACATATATATTGCTAACTTTTATTACCAAGGAGCCATTGGTCATGAAGACTTTTATTAATATTTGCTATTTTTTCCAGAGCTAGTCAAAAGATTTGATGATGTAAGTGCTGTTGTACGTCTGAAATCTGCTAGAGTTTTAGCCGCTCTGTTCAAGAACTTGCCTGAGAATTATAATCCTAGCATACAGTCAGCAAGGCTAAGAGACCTGTATGAGTCCGCAACTGTATTTTTAGATGATCCGGATGAAATATTACAGGGAGCTGTCTCAGGTACACAGAATTATGTTTATACAGATGATATGGTTTAACTTTTTTTCTTTTTTTTCAGTGCATGTTGACATATGACGGTATGTAGTATTGATTTAATTTGTATTTAAACAGTTTAATCAGGCATATATCTTTATTTTATTAATTATTTATACATCTTTCAGATGCCTTGGAAGAGATGGGCAAGATATCTCCAGAGATTTTGAAAGAAGTGTTGGAAAGAGACTGCCCAAAATTCAGAAACAAGCACGTTTGTGAGAAACTGATAGCGTCCATGAATAATTTACAGATTGCAGTTGTTAATTAGGAATATTTGTTGAAGCATTATAAAAATAGGTGCTTTTAGATAACCATCAATCTGATTACTATTTTACATAAAACACTGTGATATGCATAGTTAAAAGTTAGTACATGGGTTACTGGCACTTTTTATATACTTTAATGCAGGGTAGTATAAATGACTGTTAAAGCATAGACAATAAGCCAAACATTCTGAAGCATTCATACATTGGTTACATTTAACAAATGTAACATGATAGTAAACAATGTGCATATCAACTGAGGTGGAAAGAAGAAAAACACACAGAACAAATGTAAACACATACACACACAAAGCAAACTTAAACTAGCATACAAGCAGATGCACATACACACATATAATAATGTTAGTAAAAACAAAATTACAAATTAGACTAGAAAGAAAAAAATTGCATAATAATTAAAGGTTGATTTAGTTTTTTTTTTTTATTTCTTTGAACTAAAAAACCTCGATAATTTGTTTACCGTGGATGAAATCTAATTTTGTCTGGGTACTCAGTCAGTAGACAGGTTCCTCAGCAAACATTTTATCTTATAGTGTTCAACATTATCCTTACTGATTTCTTAAATGATATATAAAACTCTGTACTAGCAAAATTACGATTATAATATATGAATGTTAATTATATGGATATTTGAAATAAATGTGTTAAATAAGTGTGAAAGTACTTAACACTACCATTGTAATAGAGAAGATATTCTACTGAGGTATGAGTCAACATTTGTTACATTATTATATTTATTTTATTTTACTTTTGATGATTGGCATGGACCAAAGGTAGTACCTCTTCTGATATCCTACTGTATTTTGTAACCAAAATGAAAAGAAAAGAAAAAAAAAGTCTTAAGAGTTATAAACTTGGAACTACATATTTAAGGCTTACTTTGTTCGCAATAACCCTTGAACATTGGGGCACTTTATTATTGAAAAATCACTAAAATACCATAATTTGTCCTTTACTTTCTCTTAAAATAAGATTAATTGATTTTCAATTCTGGCTTCTGCAATGGCACAATTATAGGTAAGACATATGAATCTAAGAGAATGAAAAGCCTCTCCATAGTTAATATATATATATTTTTTTTTTTATAATTAAAAGGGTAAGTACACAATCAACAACGAGAAAGATTCTTTTATGAAAAGGGGAAAGAACACGTCATAAAATGGTGTGTTAATTTATTTTAATATCTATAATACATAAAGAAGTGTCACATGATAAACTTAAGATCTCTCTAAAAGTCATAAATAATCTGGGCTATGAGCCTTGAAACTAAGAATTCTGCATATACATTTACGTACGTAACTGACAAGCAATCTGCATACTTTTATTGACTGGTCTGCAAGAATGTGCCCTATTACTCTTTTTTTGAAAACAAGTTCAGATTCTTCCTCAAGATTATTTTTCAGATTATCCATGTAGTCATGTATTATAAGGCACATTGCTTTTTTTTCCTAGCTTTTTTGTTTTGTTTATGAGAGTACTGCATCTAATACAGTTCTCCCTCTCGTAGGAATTCAATTTCGTGCACCTTTTGATCATAAATTTTGTAAAATAATAAACATGTATTGCTGATGGAAAATCATGATCCCTACTAACATCATGCACCTATTCTGATGTAGCAAGTCATAGTATATATATATAATCAGTTGGCAAGCTGACTGCAAACACTGAATTTGAGCTTCTATCTCATATGTTTACTATCAGAAAGGAAATTCAAATTCAAGCTTGGGGATCGGGATTTCTACAGCTCTCATGAATACTGAAAAATGTGTCGTATTATTTACTTACATGAGGTGCAGGATGTAAAAGCTACACCAATTTCTTTTTGAGACTAGGAACTGTTTAAAATCAATGATAATAAGTCCTATTTTTCATCAAACCAATGATTTTGTTATTCAGCTTTAGTAACATTTCGGATTACTATGGATCTAATCAAAAGAACTGGGTTTCTACTGCAAAATTCCCAACCAAATGAAAAGGAAAGATCACCTCTTGTGTCTGTCCAATTAGAAATCAAATATTCCTATGGATATATTTTTGTCAACTCTGGATGGAATTGGCATTCGGTCGAGTTTATTAAACATAGAGAAATCAAGCATATCAAAGAAATAATATTTGTGCTTGGTCTGACTACCTTCAAGCATCTATCAATAAAAATATAAAACAGAAGCAAAATCTTATCAGCAGACCTTTGGCAGCTATTTCATCAAAGACAAAAATGGTGTACTATCACAGCCCTATTACCCTTCACACCATTCGTCACCTGTCACACCAGCATCAGAGATAACTCTCAATCTCTATTATTAGATATTACTCGTACAAATCGTGCATTCCAGAATCTGGAATTGGTTATCAAATGCTTAAGTAATGGCAAACTTTCCCACACTTTTCAGTATGTGAGATAATCATGTACAACATGCTCTGTCTTCTTGCTTGTTTCCAGCTGATTTCTCAACCTGACAGCTTCCACGTTTCACAATAGAAGAGCAGTTTAATGGCAAAATTAAGTTAATTTCATAGAAACTGTTTTGTGAACTGCACAAATGCTTCACAATCGAGTGATATATAATGATGTAGTGATGGAAATGTGTAAAATTATCATTATTTACAAGCTTTCCAGTTTAACATACTGGTAATAATATATAATATAGATTCTGTTATCAATGCTACTTTCTTCCCCAGCTATACTAATTTCTCTCTTTTTTTAATATTAGTGTATAACCTATCAGGCAATATTCTCCTTATTTGATATGTACATTGCATTTACATAATGACAATCAGTGCAGGATATCAGTTTGGTATTATTTATCAACTGACAAAAAGCCATATCTCTACATATACTCAACAAACTCACTGCAAGCTTTAAAATTTCTTCAACTATTCACAAGATTCAATTGGGTGGCCTGATATTTTGCATGACTCCTTGTACAACATGCATCATACTATCTGACACACATTAACAATGTCATTCACTGTGTCAATGAAGCAGTTTGAGTCAGGATAAAAGGTATCCAATCAGTACCTCAGGTCACATGTTAAAATATACAAAAGAAGAATGATGACAATGAAGTTCAAAAAATCATTCCATTTTGTCCATTATTTTAATATGTATCAAACCAGTCCAATCTACTATTGTAGGAAAAAAGATCCCCAGACTGAACCATTTCAGGGGGGTTATGATCACAGATGCTACTGTCTTAACAATATGAGATGGGCCTTTATCTTAACGTTCCTCATTTAAAACAGTTTCAGCAGCAGCAGTCTAAACCTAATCAGCCATTTTTGTTACCAGACAACATTAAATTTCAACAATTAATTCGTTCCTCCAACTTTGTTGATAAGGTCATCACAGAGCTGTGTAAGTTCTTGGTTCTCTCGTGTCTTCCTGTCAAAGGCGTCCTGGAGAGAAACAATCTTCATTTCTGCTTTCTTCAATAGGGCAGCCATTTTCGTCATTTCTTGCTCATTTGCTTTCCTCATTGTTTCAAATTCCTCATTTGCTCTGAAAAAAGTGGGGGAAAATATTAGGAACCTTTTTTTTATGGTATTCACCAAGGCATAAAATGTTTAATACAAAGAGTGAGAAAAAAAAGATAATCACAGACTAATATTTACTGGACTTTAATTCATTCATTTAACTAAAACACTATTACAAAAACATAATGTGCACTAATTACAGTGCTGTTTCACAACAACTTGTAATGCAAAATCATTGTTGGACTAAGATGAAAACTACAAATTATTCTACTGTGTAAAAAAGAAAAGAAAAAAAGAGATGAAAACCAATCTAGAGAAACACAACAATTTAGAAGTAATGGACAAATCATGTAAAAAAAAAATTCTTATCACAATGAAATGACATACAAAAAAATACTTCCAATTCGGTGAGGAATATCTACGACAAAAACCAACTTACAACTGTATTTTCTCTTCTGCATGTTTCTGGAATTCAATAAACTTCTGTTCTTGTTTCTGTAATTTGCTTTCATAGTCTGTAATAGCACCACGCAGGGTTTCTTCATTTCTTCTCAGTGTGTCGACTACCTGCTTTGTTCTTTCATATTTCCTGCAGAGAAGGGAATTTTTTATATAATTTTCTGACTTCATGAATTTAGAAAACATAATTTAAAAAGCTATTTTTTTCATATCAAGCAGTTAGTGCATACCATTTACAGTAATTATGATTGTATAGAAGTTACTACATCTAAATTGGAAGTTCATGAGAAACTTAGGTGGGACATTATTTTCTTTATAAAAACTGCAGTAAAGGGAACAATTTTTCTATAAAGACTACATAAACCTTGAATATAAAGACAGTAAATTAACCTTGAAAATGCAAAGCAATAACATGCTTCATTATTAGAATAAAGATAACAGTGCTTCCAAAACGAATATCTTAACATACCTATGTACATCAGAAAATGCATTCTCCACATTGGCTAAGTCATCTAGGGCTTGGTTTCTTTCTGATTCGAGGGTCTTGATTCTCTCCTCCGCATTCTGCTTTTCTTTCTCCTTCTCGCCAACTAGTTGTGCTAGCATGCCCTTGTACTGGCCCACCATCTTGAGCAGAGCATCACGTGACTGTGTTAGCTCTGTCAATGACCCCCCTAGGTTTCCCTTCTCCTTCTGTTCCTCCTTCATGGCTTGGATCAATTTTCTCTCCTTCTCCCCAGCAGCTAGCTCCGCTCGTAGGAGCTTCTCTTCAAATTGTAGTGACTGTCGCTTCAGAAGCTCCTCTACCTACAAAGTCAAGGAAAATAATAATCATTACTAAAATTCAGACAATTGTAGGTAAATGGACATGAACGTCTAAGAATAACTTTCATGCAGTGGTAGAGTCGGGTTCAAAGTTATTGAAATATTGTGAAAGTTATGCGTAAATATATTTATATAGGAATTTTTTATCTCCATGCAAATCAAATTATATCTGGTACATTAATCAATACTGAAATAGCTCAACCAAATGGTGCAATCTCTCATTCCTAAAGTGCATTTAAGAATAATAATTTCAAGTTAAAAAAAAGTTTATTTGATCTTAATAAATGGGATGCTTGAAGCCAATTTATTATAATGATGATTTCATACAGATAAAGATGTGCATTCAACAAATGAAGCCTCACAGGGAAGTTTGAAGTTCTCTGTGATCAAAGCTTTCTTTTGTAAGACATAACAAGGTAAATCCTACTCATCATAGAATGCAAAATCTTCATCAAGCCTTCATGAAACTTCCAAATGAGAGAAATGTGAAATTATCAATAAAATAATAAAATCAATGAAAATCCACACAAAAACACAAATCAACTAATGAAAGAATAAAAATTCAAAGATGGCACCACATTTTACTAACAAAACATGTACAAGGTCAAATGTTCACAATATCCTATGCCACACAAGAGACCCCTAAAGAACTGGCCCCACAAGAGCTTCCTAAAGTACAGGCTATGCATGACCACAAGAGGATGGGACCTACCTCTGCAGTGGTCACATAGCCATCCGGGGGGACGGAGAGGGGTCGTGATGATGAAGGCTTGTGCTCAGAGGTGTCACTGGGACGGGGTGTTGGGCTGCTGGTGCCTTCTGGAGCCGATCTTTCTTCACGTGGTGGAATGGGAGTGGAAGTGGACGGGACAGGCTGAAATTCACATTCCAAAAAAGAAGCTTATAATTCAGGTTAAAGAAGGACATCAGTAGCAACACTACTGGGATTTCAGTTCTTTGTCACTGATCAAAGCATGGTGTGTAAAGCTTGCCAAGTCTATCATTAATTTACTGTTTAATCCACTATTTACCTGTGTTCTTCAGTGGCACAAACAAGTTTTGGTTTAGACAAATGATCTTAATACTCAAGTCAAGATTTAATTTTAGTTAAAAAAATACTCTAATTTAAAATAACTTTTTAAAAAATTCTAATTTCAACACTGGCCATCTATATGGACCTCCAAAATCTATTTACATGAATATTAGTACATGAAAATAACATTATTTACAAATTTATGCTACCTAACAGTAAAAATCTAGGCATTTTTGTAAATTTTACCTTTGCCAACACAATTTATCAATTACTATTCATAAAGGTTAGGAAAATCAGAATGATGTTATTTCTTAAAGGGGTCTGGAAAATAGGTTTTGAAATTTTACTATCTGCTACACAAAGTTTCATAACAGAGGTGAAGAGGAGGAAAGGTGGGAAGATTTCCGTGTTTTCCCTCTGGCTGCTACACTTCTATATCCTAGAATGACCCCAGAAAGATTGTGATGAAACATTTTATCTGTAATTTTCTCATAAATTTTTTTTCCATGATATCATGTGATGCTAATAAATCATTGTTGAAGCAGTATCCCCTTAACCATTTTTTATTCCCTTTCTGTAATTGTGAATAAAATATATAACTTCCAATATATTCAGCTCCAATTATTACATTAAAATTATATGTATCCAATAAAACGGACTGGACAAATTTCTCCAGTATTTCTTTGTCTATAACAGCAGTGAACATAAAATACAATAAAGCACATGTCACAAGTTTTCCGGTTCCTGATAAAATGGTTATAAGGTTATATACAGCAAGCAGTAACCTGGCCCAAGGAATTATTATACATACATATTATCTGATGAACAACATACATTTCAAACAGTCAACTATTCCTAAGATATTTGCTTATTCTAGAGCCAGTTCAAAATAAATGATGTTCTGTACTTCCTACTATAAGGATCTAAGTTTAAGAACTATAATAACTATATACATATCCTCAACTGCAAACACTAATGAAGCATGATTAAAGTTATTCTGCAAACATTATTGGATCTTTTGTGCTTTGAGGTTATTAACAATACCACAGACAATTCTTTAAAATTTGAGCATTGACAATTTTCTCTTGGTTAAATGAGTAAAAATAATGTATTTCTTGTCCCCTTTGAAAGATGGTTAACAGAAGAAACTACAGACTGCATCTACATAGTAATATCAAGATGTAAATCAATTATATTAAGAGGGTAGAAAAACCCACTATAGACAAACTAGATGTGAATCAAGGACAAAAAGATCACACATTCAAATAAAAAAAATAAATAAAAAAGGAAGAAAAGGGAAGAAAATGAAAGCAAAAAATGATACATTTACAATACAAACAAACTAATCTTTGAATTTCACTTAAATGCTTGACTCTAATCAAGAATGGAGATTTCACCATTAGGCTAAATATAGTTGGCGTACCTTTTTCTGGAAACATACCTTGTTCTGTGGCGACTCTGGAGTGACCGAAGGATGCTCTGGCTTCTCCTTGATTGGTGTTACTTCATCTCCGCTCAGTTTACTTTGACTGCAAGGCAAAAACAGCTGACGTTAGTATACTGCGGTTACTTTAACTCTCATATGACATCACAAAAATATACGCAAATACATGTATGAGTGAATGACTAAAAGTGTATGTGTATTGTAGTGTGTTTATGTATGCATGTGTCTAAATGTTTTTACAAATGTACATGAGTGTGCACATATGTGAATATGTGTGTATGCATTTGGGGTGTATGTGCATGTTTGTTTATGTTGTGTGTGTGTGTGTGTGTGTGTGTGTGTGTTGTGTGTGTGTGTGTGTGTGTGTGTGTGTGTGTGTGTGTGTGTGTGTGTGTGTGTGTGTGTGTTGGTGTCTAGGCATTTCATACAACAACAACAACAATAACAACAACAAAAATTGAATGACAGCAGAATGCACATATGGCTATTCAAGTACCTACAATTTCACACATGATAAAAAAAAAAAAAAATTGCTGTTAATGTTTAATCAACTAAAGCTACCGAGAAATTATGTTCTAACTTCTTTCTTTTTATTTTGTACTTCATTCATTCATTCATTCATTCATTCACTCACTCACTCAATGCACATAATTTTCTCTTTGCAATCAACCATTAGTAAAGATGCATAATCATAAAGTTTGGTTAACAGCTCCATTAATGATGTTAGGTAATCAAAATATGCTAATTAGGGAACATCAACATATGCATATACAAAAAAGTAAGATTTCAGAGACACGAACATTAAGAAAAAAAGGCACAACTAACACGTCAACCCGAATGAATAAGAGCAAGAAGGGGAGCGGATTTGGGAAAGAGGGACGAAATTCGAGGAAAACCAAACACTGAGGGAGGAGGACGGCAAGGCCCACAGGGGCGCCCCGCACGAGCGCCCCCCGCCCCACGGCCTCCGCCACAAAGACAACCTGGGGGCATCGAGCGAGGGGGGCGTCTGCAGCGTCGAAGTGGCTGCGGCTGCGGCGGTGTTGGCGGCATTTTGTTTTCTGGACGGGGGGGCCTCCTCGCGCCTTCGGAGCCTCGGAGTCAAGTAGGAGGCGGCGAAGAAGTAAAGCGCCGGTAACATGAGCGTCAGGAGGCACTGCATGCTCCGGAGGGTGTTTCGGCCCACTTCACTCCCCTCCACGCCCACGCTCACAATTAGCAGCAACACCGTGAACGCGTGGCTGAACATGTTATTAATTGGCGTTTTTCCCCCGGTCTTTCTATTATCTCTTACGGGTTACATGTAATAACGAATTCCTTTCCTTATCAAAATCCAAGTGGCTTATACTTTACAGCGCAGTACCTAACGTACTGGAGCCCAAGTACCAGAACCTAGATTCTCCTGTATACTTGTTTTTATAACATATGAGAATCTCTGGTGAGAAATTACACACACTGGGACCACTGGTACTCTAGTCTTAGAACATGTAAGCTGAAAGACGCTCTTCCTCCCCGAGCTCGCCTGCCCGCCGACCATCAACGGGGTCGCCAGAGCCTTCAACCGACGTGGCGGAGTCCGAGTCTCTGTTGTGGTGAACCATAAAGGCCGTCGCTGGAGACAAGAGGCAAGCGTGATATCCGTCACGAAGAGCCAAATCCTCGACCGCAGGAGCACCGCGCGCACACGTCCGCCACCCTCGGGCCGCACATACACTATCATCACTTGCCGGGGCTTCCTGGCAGGGCTTCAGCTCTCGGTGCCGCTTCGCATGTAACCCGAGACCTCTCAATCGCCCCTCCGTCACCTATGGCACGGTTGCCTCTCCAGGAATTCTGGATCGACAGGTTCACCGCCACGTATCCAATTATCCCCTTTGGGGCGAGCCCTGTTCAATCAGCCCCGAGGGGTTAATGCGGACAATTCTCGCACTTGGAAGCTCAGTCGCACCTCCGACGACCTTGCCTGCAGATGAGCGCTGTTCAGGCGACGCAGCTGCCTCTTTCTCTGCTGCTTAATTCGCTGAAAATGGCCTCCGCCCGTCAAAGCACCGGCCTGCACCACCCGAGAACCCTGTTGCCGGGGCTTCACTGAACGCCTTCTGGGAGCCTTATTCGATTAGCGTGCGAAGAAAGGCCTAAGGCTTCCCCGCCTCGTGCCTCGGCCGCCCGCGACGCCGCCGGGAGAAACACGTGCACCTCTCGTCAACACTCGCCGCTCGGGACAGGACAGCGAGAACAGGATGTCGTTGTCGTGAACAGAGGAAGGAAGCGCCGGGCGAGATAAGGGGGCTGAAGAGGGTAGATAAACAAGGGGCAGAGAGGAGGCGGTGATGCGAAAACGAGAAGGAGAAGAGGGAGAAGGGGGGTGAAGCCGCGAAAGGGGGAGCAGCAGCAGGGGAAGAAGAGCAGACGATGGATTGGCAGCAAGGAGAGAGAGGGTGCTGTGCGGTACAGGAAGTAATTCGCGCGTCGCCCCTACACGGACGCGAACGGGGACCGCCCGCCACCACGCCGCGAATACCCGCATTCCCTCCCTACCTGTACTCTCCTTACACCCCCCCCCCCCCCCCGCCATAACTCTTCCGGGCTCGCCGTGCCCATCCCTTTTCTCCTGCTCTTTTTCGCCCAAAGACAGCTTCGCCTTTGTCTGTCGTCAGAGGAGAGCAAGACACGCGACTGCGGCGAAGGCGTCTACGGACCTTTGCTCGGGCGTGTCCCGTCGCCCGACTGCCGACTCCACCCGGACAAAGTACGATAAAAAAAAACTCATGCATAAATCTTTGCACGCAGACATATGCCCACCTATACACACGCGCACGCGCACGCACGCAACACTCAATACAAAACAACACACGCGCATAAACACACACACACACACACACGGGGCCCTCTTCATGACCGCCGACGGCATCCTCATCTCCCCCTCCCGGCAAACACTTAAACGTTCCCCATGACTGCGAACCCTTACCTTCCCCCTCCCCTCTCTACCACTCCCTCCTCCCCCCACTTCCCCTCTTCTCCCTGCGGCACGCGTCACGCCTTGGGGCATGTGACCCCTCTTTCCTCCCCCCAAACGACCTACATCATTCCCCCTTCCTCCCTCCTCTCCTCCCCTCTCTCCTCTCCCCCTCCCCTCCCTTCCTCCTCCTTCCCCCTCTCTCCTCTCCCTCCTCCCCTCCTTCCTCATCCTTCCCCCTCTCTCCGCCCTCCCTCCACAGTTACATATATATGCTAATTACAAAAAAAGAGTGACGCAACCCGTTTCCTCTGGGTTTCCACACAGACTCCACGCAGGCCGCTCGTCCCACCGACTAACGCACGGCATAAGAAGATAAAATAGAAGATAATTAGTTGAAAAAATGAATTAAAAGATAATTGGTTATCTTAAACGGAAAAATTATAAACTGAAGGCGACTGTTAGTGAAAGAGAATGGAATAGGGAAAACGAAGATCGAATTTGGAAAACAACCAAAAAATTTAAGATAATTAGTAATCAAAACCGGAAATAATATAGACTAAAGAGGATTAGTCATGAAAGGAATTTTAAAAAATGACCGAAGATCAATATCGACACACACAAAAAAAAAAGACTTCCTACATCGTTAAATATAAAAAAGAGTAGGCATGGCGCAAAAAAAAGATGAATAGCAAAAAATAACAACAATAAATAACGAAAGGAATAAAGGAAAGGCAAAAACAAATAATCTTAAACAACGCTAAACACCCAACGTTCGCGGTAAAATATGCAAATGGCGGGAAACGTTATTAGACGCAAAATAAAAAAAAAGAAAAAAAAATATACCAACAGCTCACCACAAACAAAATGCGGATCTCTGCTCCACAATTCGGCCAAAATTATTGTCCGAATTACGTGCGCGCGGCATTCCTCGAGGACATTAAATAAGCCTGGTAAATCCGGAAGAACGAGGGGAGGGGAGAGGAGGAGGAGGAGGAGGAGGAGGAGGAGGAGGAGGAGGAGGAGAAGAAGAAGAAAAAGAAGGAGAGAAGAAGAGAAGAAGAAGAAGGAGAGAGAGAAGAGGAGGAGAGAGGAGGAGGAGGAGGAGAGGAGGAGGAGGAGGAGGAGGAGGAGGAGGAGAGAGGAGGAGAGGAAGGAGGAGAGAGAGAGAGGGGAGAGGAGGAGGAGAGAGAGGAGGGAGAGGAGGAGGAGGAGAAGAGGAAGAGATAGGGGAATAGTGGAGGAGGAGGAGAAGGAGGAAGAGGGGAAAGAGAAGGAAAAGAATAGGAGAGAAAGAGAGAAGTGGGGGAGGAGGACGAGCAGGAGGAGGAGGAGGAGGAACTGAATATGCGCGTTAAATCTAGAAGAAAAGAGAGGGGGAGGAGGGGAGGGAAGAGGAGGATAAACGGGATAAGGAGGGGGATGATGATGATGATGATGATGCTATAACGAGGAGGAGTCGGAGAAAGAAGAAGGCAAGGAGGAACGCGAGAAAGGAACAGAGAAAGACAGAGAAAAATGGGCAACACATGTCTGGGCAAAGCACATGTTTGTTTTTGTTTACGGGGGAATGATGCATTGCTCGCCCGTTTAGACCATAAGGATTCCACTCTGTTGAAAGGCGCCGCTCGTGGGGGAACGCGTTTTCATTCCCTTCGTATTTAAGAGAAAACGAGTTCTTCGCCTTCCTGCTGCTGCCAGTACGAAAAAGACAAAGAAAAGAGCAAGAACACAGAACAAAAAACATAATAAAAAACACCAAAGCAACAACAAAATCGACAGCAATAACAACGCCTACAGCACAAAAGCAGTAAAAACAACAACAAAAGCAACGACAACGCCAACAACAAAAAGCGACCAACAACAAGGACGACATGCAAACCCCCGCCCCGCACCGTCTGCTATCAAACCGGCTCTCGGAGCGGCAACTGGAAATCCCCGTGTCTTTGGCGGTTTTTTATTTAGGCCAATCAATCTGCTCTCGCACCTTTGCATACAAACAAAAGTAATAACCCCATCACTCAATGGGCACGATTTCACACTCGTCCATTCTTCTCGTCAACTCTAGGCATATCCTGCCATCACAAACACGCCGTCCGAATGTGCCTCTTCTCACTCGGCTCTCCGTC